CTCATTAAAATCTTCATTTGAATGGACAAACTGGACTCCAAGACAACACCATCTTGCTACCAGGCTATGGATCATTTTGGAGAAGTCCGATTGAGAACCGATTCATTTGAAATGAACACCCATTTCTTGATTTTCTAAGAATCCCCTTTGATCCCCTTGGTGGATCATCTAGGTACAGCTTGCCCTATACTTTTTTTGCTTATCCCTAGTACACGTGGTACAGGCCATGATAATCATGGTGGGTAGAAGTAGACGACTGCTTTTACTGTAAGTGAACCACATGTCTACACGTGTGAGAAGCAGTTCGACTTTGCATTTACAAGACTACTAGAACTAGAGATGGTTAAGTAATGTGCCAAACTTAATTTCCAACAATCATCAGAACTGCTCAAATCTCATAGGAATATCTGCTACCATGGATACAATTAAACTCATTTTGGTTATCTTATTTCTATATAAAAGTATTATTAAAAAGGCAGCGACATTAAAAATGATTATCTGAAAAAAATTTGTTTTAAGTATTTTTCTTTCTAAAAAAAAGGTCTTCTTTTTTATCTCCACTCAATCATATTAGGGTATCAAGTTGTGACCCTTGATGGTGTCTGTTTGACAATCATCATGACTGGGTGAAGTAGAATGTGTCTGTCTTTGTCATTAAGACTGGGAGCACTACTCAGTGGCAGGCCGACTTAGCTCCAAAAGAAATGGCCGCCTCTGACATTATTAGGAACAGATGCCATGTGCAGTTACTCCTAACATGGAGTACAAACGCTACTCATCCTGTATCCCTGGATTAGGAGCCCTTACAGGGTACTAAAAAAAAAGGTGAACTATTGTAGTTACCAGGCAACTGAAGTGTTGGCGAAGTACTCCATCTTGTGGGGGTTCTTGGCCTGCAGGTCATCTGCAGCATTCTTCTCCAGCCAGTCTATCACCAGCTGTAGCAGACATCACAACACTGTGGTCACTTCACTGGGATGGGTGACATGTTCTAGCTAGAGTGGGTGTTCTTCCAATAGAATTTTTTTTTTGCTTATCCCTAGTACACTTGGTACAGGCCATGATAATCATGGTGGGTGAAAGTAGGCTACTGCTTTTACTGTAAGTGCACATGTCTACACTTGTGAAAAGCAGTTTGACTTTGCACTTACAAATGTGCCAGAGCCCCATTTGGTTACTTGCACTCGCTGGTGGGGTTGGACTTTTGCAAGAATCGGGGGCCATTGAGGCATTTTTTTTTTAACAGAAAAAAAGTGCCCAATGCAGGAATCGAACCCGGGTCGTAGCAGTTGAAAACCAACAGTTTAGATCATCCCTCCACCGAACCCCCCTGCCAAAGAGTTGTACCAACCAGAGGTCACTTGTTTGCAGCGACAGTCAATAGATGGCATCTAATTTTGACATCTATTTTGACGGGAGGTGACTTTTATTCTTATAGATCAATATCTTCCCAGCAAAATTCCCATCTGAACAGTAGAAAATTATTTTATTTGTGAAAAGAGAGAATTTTAAAAAGCCTGCTAAATACAGTTAAACCTGTTTATAGCGCCCCCCTCTTGGGACTCACCAAAATAGGGTGCTATAGACAGTTTGCTTAATATTGGGGTAAATTGCATCATACTATTTAAAATCAGGCGCTAGAGAGAGGAAGGCGTTATTTAGAGGGGGCGCTATAGACAGGTTTAACTGTATTTTTAAATTCTCATCTATTCTTGTGATGGGAGCCAGCCAAACCTCTAACAAATGGCATCCAGAATAACAACAATGAGGTAAAGGACCATACCTGTGTCTGGCGGATGTTGGCGTCGCACTTGTAGAGGTTCTCAATGATCTGTCGGTCACTCAGGTACTGGCCCTGGAATTACATCAAAGTTCACAACAACATCTAATAATGTCTTTTGTCTGAGGATTTTATTTTATTTCAATTTAAAGCGCTATGTCCCCCTAGGGACACGTGCACTGTCATACATGTATGCCTTTACATTTGTCTATACATATATATATATAATAATTTTAGACCGTGAATTGAATAGTCATATGATATTAACAATGAGAAAGAGAGAAAAAAGAACTGTGTATAAAAGAAAGAAGTGTCTGGCAATATGTACAATCAGCATAATATAAATTATCAGTTTCTTAAAAGATATTTGTTGCTATATAATTTAAAATATATCTACAAAAGGTACTGAATTTAATATACATTTCTTTACTGGAAATAAAAATACTTGGATATGTTACTCTTGAATTATTGTCGATTCTATAGTCTTGAAAAACAGGACAATCCAGTAAAAGATGTATTGAGGTTTGTTCCTCGTGTCTACAAAAACAACTCGAGTCTTCCACTGCTTTAATATGGTAACAATAGGGAGGATGGTAACAATACTGTTACTGAATTAGTCTTTAGATTTAGTCTTATTATCTTATACAGTGGAAGCTCTCTGTAAAGGACACTTAATTGTAGAGCCAAAGTGTCCTTTAGGGCAAGGTGTCCTCTTACCGGAGAGTTGATGAATAGTAAAAATTGAAATTTTGTATATGTAAACTGTCCTTTATAAAGAGGTGTCCTCTAGCGCGAGTGTCCTTTCAAGGAGGTTCTACTGTAGTTCTAATCTATAATCCAAATTGTAGCTTATCATCAAATAGTGTAAACTACAATTGATGTTTTGGTAGCACCACTTTGCTATATATCAAACCCTAGATTCAGCTTTAAAAGTGCTATTAAAAACATATTGCACCTAATTTACTTATGTGTTAGCTTTCACAAGGTAATAAGACTAAATCTAAATTTGAAAATTATATGGTCTTTTGGTACCAGCATTGTTATCAACTTTAAACAAAGATACTGAATTCTTACTGAATTGAAGGTTAGGAATCAAGGGGAAAAAAAAGCCAGGAATTTATTTTTTATATCTCATTAGTGATAACAACCAGTTTTCCTGGGAGACACCCATCATTGGGTTACTATCCTTTGGTTACTTGCACTCGCTGGTGGGGTTAAACTTTTGCAAGAATCGGGGGCCATTGGAGCATTTATTTAATTAGAAAAAAGTACCCTATGCGGGATTCCATCCCGGGTCGGAGCAGTCGGAAACCAATGGTTTAGACCCTCCTTCCACTGACCCCTGAGACCAGTTGTACTTACCGAAACATCATCCAGTTCCACATCATCCTCAGCTGTCTCCAGTCTGTCTCTGGTCAATGTGGCCACCAGTCTCCAGGTGTTTCGCTCAGCTATCATCAGTTGGAGCAGCTGGGAGGTCTTAGAGAACCTGGAGTCCACAAGGTTTGTCCATGTCTGATACCAAGTGTCACCCCAACATAATACAGACACATAGAGAAACACAAGGTAATAAGACCAAATCCAAATAAATAAATAGTTTATTTATTTGGATTTGATCTTATTACCTTGTGTTTATAATCTATAATCCAAATTGTGCCTTATCATGACACATAGAGGAGTCAAGCAACTTCAATTCTTCAGTTTCACCATTGAAACTGTGGCTTGCCTACTTCTTTGACAGAGAATCTCTTAGCTTTGAACTTGGAAAATTGTATTTATATGTGGTGATTTGTGAAGCAGTCATGGTAGTTGTGTGAAAAGTGGTAAGGACACGCAGAAGACAGGATCCAGAGGCAAAAACCTGTGGGGAGTAGATCGGGGAGGAAAGAGAGAAGGTCCGAGGACCACCCTGGGAACAACTGGTGGCGAGACCACCTTAGTGCAAACTGTCCCTTGATCATCACATCCAGCTGCTTTTAAACTGCTTTGAGTCAGATAAATCCCCTAAAGGGGAATGGGAGTGAAGACTTGACACTTGTTGACAAAGGGGGTTGTTTTAACCCAGCTGTCTTCCCTTTTTCCTCATACTCCCACATAAGCCATTTTATTTATATATCTTCAAATATTATGTGACATATATATTTTTTATTTCTCTTGAGAAGATGCAAAACAACCTTCAATTTTAAATTTTTAGTGTTTAATATATATATATATTTTTTAATTCATATTTTTATTGTTAGTTATACAAACGTGAAAATATATATATGTCATAATTTGTATATAATTGTATGCACCCCCGACCCACTATGCATGTACAATGCATGATTTTCAAAGATTTAATAAAGAATAAGGTAACTGGAGGAAAGAAAGTAGCAACAAGACATAGGAAGTAGGCTTAAAGCGGGCACAATTATAAATAACTTGTATAGTCAATACTTCCTGACAGAGGCCGGACGTATCTGGTGACCGCAGAAGTTATAAAAGTCGAGAGACGCCCAATATTTCCGGAGCAGGACCGGACGTATCTGATAACCGCGGAAGTTATAAGAGTCGAACTAACACCCAATACTTCCTGACAAGATCGGCGGTATCTTCCACCAAAGAAAGCCACAGAACCAATTAGAAAGTATCCCCTAAATAGGTCAACCAATAGAAAAACGGGCACGTTCCATCCCTCGACCAATAGGAAAGAAGCTAAGTCTTGGTGTTAAATCGAGAAGCAAGAATGGTTAGTAGGGATTTCGCTCCCATAGGAACAACACCTATGTAATGGCTCCTTCGCTCCCAACGAGGTAACATCTGCTCTAGACCTCTCTCCCTCTGCTCATCCCATAGCTAAGTCCAATCACCACCATGTGATCAGATAATTAACAATCAAAACCCGCTCCGCTCTTCTCAAGCTTTCTTTCCTCCAACCCAGTTGCCTTTTATTTTCAAACCCCATCACGTGTCCTGATTATTCCTAACTGTATGCTTCAACTTCCACTCAAACGACTGCGTTTCAACCAAATCTCACCATTCTCATCGAACAACAAGAAATTCCGCAACGATATTGTCACATATACTAGCCGAATGACCCGGGCAAAGAGAGAGAGAGAGCCCAGGGTTTACCCGATTAAATGCTTTTATTCAAATACTATTTGTTACAATTATAAATTGGCGCCGTGGATGTCATTCTTGTATAATATATAAATGAGTTTTAAAAATTGTTAAAAAAAAATACATCGGCCGGGAATCGCACCCGCCAGCGTGGCAGGCGAGCATTCTACCACTGAACCACCGATGGTTATGAGAAATGGCCATATTTGGGTATTTATTCCATTCACAAAAGCAAACGGTGACAGAATTGATTAAGAAAGGGCAATGCCCGGGTTTTATCCGATTAAATGCTTTTATCCCTTGGCAGAGCTGACTGCTATAGGGCGCGTCCCCAGGTGGCGGATAGGGGAACGACCTTCAGATATGAAGGCCAGCTGCGAAACAAGCAGAATAACTCTGACAAATAAGCAGTCGCGGACCAACAGCAGCATTGTTAGAAGAGGAGTAGACCTCTTTAAAAATCCTGACTTCAACTGACCCGGGTTGATGGACCTCAGCAAGGGTCCCACTCCAGGGATACGGAGGAGCTGTGTCTGTACTCATGTTAGAGTCGGCAGCAAAGGCGTCTGCTTCCATGTTAGGAACGGCCTCAAACTACAGGCAAAGTCAGACTTTCACCAAAGTGTGCCTGGATCATGGTGCCATGATCAACGAAAGCTGCACCCCTATACCCCATTCCATGAGATCAGATGTTGATTTGCATGCTGCATCGCCCGTCGCGCAGAATAAACAGGGGCGCGTTCAGGACTTAGGTAGAGGGTTCTGTCCGATAAGTATAATACAGTCTCCACAAACTTCTAACTTTGCAGCTTCCAAGCAATTGAGCATTCTGCAGTGCAACATCAATGGATTGTGCTCAACAGCAACAAAAATAAAATTAGAAGAAATAATGGAAATAGCTGAAAAACAAAAGATACAAATTATAGCCCTACAGGAAACCAAATTAAATGAAAAGTACAATCTCAAATATAAAAACTACAATATCCTCAGAAAAGACAGAAATAAAGAAGGGGGTGGCCTTGCATTTTTAATCAAGAATTTGTACTATGAAGACATAGCCATTAATATTCCAAACACATCAGACCTCGAAGCCCAAGGTATCAAAGTCTACCTCAATCAAAACAAAACCATCAACATATTCAATATGTATCACCCACCAAACAATAAACTTATTGACGATGGAACAATGGCTCAATTTCTTACAGACAACACTATTATTGTAGGTGACCTTAATGCCAAACATCAACTATGGGGATGTTCCACGCCAAACCCAAGAGGCAAAATACTTTCAAACTTATTTGACGACAATGCCTTCATGTGCTTAAATGATGGGAATCCTACCCACCATTCCTACAGTTATAATACCGCACAAGCCCTTGATATAAGTTTCTCCAGTCCTGACATTTTCCACAAATGCAAATGGCAAATATTAAAAAGTATTGGAAGTGATCATTTGCCTATTTTGATAGAAATTAGCACCAAGACCAAAACCAGCTCAATTAAAGAAAAATTCTGGAACTTCAAAAAGGCTAATTGGAATCTTTACCAGCAAAACACCAATGAAGACTTTAGAAAAGCACCCACTAGAATAAAAGATCTGGAACAAAATTGGATATCTTTCAAAAACACCATTATTAAAGCAGCCAAAGTTTCAATACCAAGAGGTAATATTAAGAAATGGATTCCAAATTATACACACCAGGCAAAAGATATTCAAACACTTATAACTAAAAGAAATGAACTACAAAAAAAGTGCACCCAAAACCAAACAAATTGTAGAACTGAACTGAACATTGTGAATGCAAAAATAAAAAGATTATATGTAAATATGAAAAGGGAAAAATGGAAACAAACTTGTGAAAACCTGAACCCAAGAAACCCAAATACAAAACTTTGGCATTTGGCAAAACAAATTGACAGAGCCCAGCCACAAACTGAAAACACAAATATGATTAAGAATACAGATGGTACCCCAGCAACTAATGACAAAAATGCTGCTAATCTTTTAGGTAATTCATATCAAATAAGTAGTAAAATCAAATTTGAAATAAAAGATAAGAAAGTTGAAAAAAAGGCCCGAAAGATTATCCATGACTGTAAAAACGTCACTAGCACTCATAATATTTTCCATGAAAAAATCAATATGAAAGAGCTAGATTATGCATTAGAAAACACTGACCTAAACAAGACTCCTGGGCCAGATGGAATCCATGGCCAAATGATATCAAACTTGGGCAAAAATGGCAAAGAAAAGCTTCTTGATATTTTCAATAACTCCTGGAAAACTGGAAAATTGCCTCAAGACTGGAAAACTGCAACAATAATTCCTATTAAAAAACTTGACAAATCTGCTGATGACCCAAAAAACTACCGACCTATCTCCCTCACAAGTATTTGCTGCAAATTAATGGAAAAAATTATTCTCAGACGACTCACCTACCACCTCGACACAAGAAATCTCTTACCAGAAGAACAATATGGATTTAGGAAAGGACATGGGACAATAGACCAACTCTTATTTTTCACACAAAAGGTAAAAGATGCACAAAACAGAAAACCAACTAACCACACCATAGCTGCTTTTTTAGACCTTACACAAGCTTTTGATAAAGTATGGAAAAACAAGTTAATTACAAAATTATACAAGCATTTCAAAATTGATGGAAAAGCTATCACTTGGATAAATGATTCCTTAAAAATAGATACATCAGGGTCAAATATAATGGCACTCTATCTAAAACCTTCAAATTGTACCAAGGATTACCACAAGGATCAGTCCTTAGCCCAACTCTCTTCACCCTATTTATTGCAGGCATAGAAGAAAAAATTTCACATAAAACCAATATTGGACTATTCGCTGATGACATTATTCTATGGAGCAGCAATACTAACTGGAAAAAAGCTGAAAGAGATTTGAACAAGACTCTTTTCCACCTAGAAAAATTTGCTAATAAACATAAATTAGAATTTAACCCCCAAAAATCTGAAACCTGTCTTTTTACTACCGATAAGAAACTATACAAAATAAGACCAAAAATTATTCTGAAAGAACAACAATTGCAATATAATAAACATCCTAAATATCTTGGCTACACCCTGGATCCAGAAATTAACTCCAGTAAACATATTGAAGAAGTTATTAGAAAAGGAAGAGACCGACTAAAAATCCTGAAATATATTTCAGGAAGAGAGTGGGGAGCCGATGCAACCACACTAAAATTAACTTACACATCTCTAATTAGACCTATCCTGGAATATGGATATCAAATCTATGGTACAGCATCTGAAACAAATCTAAAATCACTGGAAAGGATACAACTAAGTGCAGCTAGAATTATTACAGGTCTTCGAAATACCTGCCCTAACGATATTGTACTTTACGAGGCTGACATTATGCCCTTAAAGGATAGAAGAAGCTACAATCTGCCAAAATATATAAACAAAATCAAGAGTTATGGAAACAAACACAGAACTTCCAAGTACATACTTAATTGGGAATCCAATTTAAGACTCAAAAAAGAAGGCCCTCTACACCTGGCCAAAAGAAATGAATTTTTAAAATATAAAGTGGAAAAAAATTATTTAGCAGAAAAAATTTCTCCATGCAAACCACTACAAAATGTTATTTTTAATGCCACTTTAAATGAACCCACCAACAAACAATACCAAAATCCAGAATACTTAAAACAATTATCATTAGAAATAATTAATAACATTCCTAAAAATGCAATAACTATCTATACCGATGGTAGCAGAGACGAGCTAGGACACACTGGCAGTGGCTGTCTCATCAAAACCACAAATGGCATTGAGAAAATGAACAGAAGAAACCCAGATTTTTGCTCAGTCTTCAGATCAGAACTTATAGCCATCTATGAAGCCTTAAAATCCATCAGAAATACTAATTATCAAGATATCTGGATTCTTACTGATAGTAGAAGTGCCATACAACATTTGAGTCACACAGGGGAACTCAGAGACAAAGTAAGCAGGAACATAATTGGTTATCTCCAAAAACTCTCAAAAACCTCAAAAATTCACCTTCAATGGATACCCTCACATGTTGGAATTGAAGGCAATGAAGCTGCTGATGTGCTAGCGAAAAAAGGCACAAAAGAACCCTTGCCACAGAAAAATAAACTTACTTTTAAAGAAATAGAAACAATAGCCAAAACAAAAATATACAAGAACTGGAGGATCCCACCTAAGCACAGTTGGTACAGTGGAGTGAACCCAGGAGGAGCTCTGAAGATCAAAAATAGACAGCATCAAACAACACTAACAAGATTTAGAACGGGCCATCTCAAGCCATTGAAGATAGAAAATAATAACAAAATTTATCCCACTTGCCCAAAATGTAGTTTGGTACCTGCAGCTCCAGAACACATTTTGGCTTGCATTAGATGCACTAAACAGGACCTTTGGGAGAGGCCGCTGCTCATCATAAAACAGCTCGAGGAGCATGAACTCATGGAATTCGTGTAATCTTTACACAAGGGGATAAGAAACAACAACAACAACAAATGCTTTTATTCAAATACTATTTGTTACAATTATAAATTGGCGCCGTGGATGTCATTCTTGTGAAACGTCCCGCTCCAAACTTTGTGTCTGAGAAGCGATATTTTTATAAAGAGATGATCTGGCTTTGTGTCTTCTGCTCGAATGAATGTTTTTCTGTTAGAATTTTGTTCCTGCATACTAAAAATGAACTGGCTTCACCCGTGGTCTCGGCTTTTTGGAATTTTTCCGGATATAATTTTGTATCTGATAATCAAATATGATACAGCAATATTGTCATAATCATTTTCTGAATAAAAAAACAACTACTTTTTTCCCAGAACCTGTCAATTTATTTTTCTTGACTAAAAATCAGAAAAAAATATTTTCCAGATTTTTCTCTATGTCCTGTTAAAACACGTTTTACATGTCCATTAGGTCAGCTGATATTACCTCCCATCTTCACCACTAGAGGTGCTGCTTGCGAGCGAAAGGGCAAATTTGCCACGCAATTTTCAAATAACTTGTATACATACTTGTATTGAATCAATAATTCCTTCTCTAAACTTTAATAACGAACCACTTGATGAGGAAAGAGTTTCTTTACATACTCTATTTACATACTTGTATACTTGTGTACATAGACCATAAATCTGTACATAGACAGGAAAAGCACATATATTTTAATAATATAAATGAGTTTTAAAAATTGTAAAAAAAAAATGCATTGGCCGGGAATCGAACCCGGGGCGCCCGCGTGGCAGGCGAGCATTCTACCACTGAACCAAAAGCAAACAATGACAGAATTAAGAAAGAATTGTGCATGACACTGTGATAACTGTATATATTATATATGTTATATTAAAATATTATTTTATTTAAAATTATAATTTCATAGATTCAAATACTCTGTTAAATCGACTGCCAGAGGTCACACTTCCCCTATAAAAACTCATTGTTGTTGTTTCCCGCTGGCCGGCTCAAATCTTTTGTACATTATGTAAATAGGTTTTTCATTTTTTTTATTCTTATGCCTTAAGCCAGGCAGTACTTTTACCAAATCATGTTTTTTATATATATTCCTTAGCTCAAATAAATAAATCTCTGATCATAACTAATTTTACTTAAATTATTGCCACGACTGCTCAACAAATATCTTTATTCTCAAAATAATCAGCATCAAGTATTAATTTTATATAGCTCTAATAATCAATAATCAAGCAGAAAATCTCCTTTTTTCTATTTATAACATATATATATACAGTAGAACCTCCCTTTAGTGGACACCACGCTAGAGGACACCTCTCTACAAAGGACAGTTTTAATTTGCACAATTACCATTTTTACCATTTAACAACTCTCTGGTAAGAAGACACCTCTCCCTAAAGGACACTTTGGGTATGCAATTAGGTATACTTTACAGGGAAGTTTAACTGTATATGTAAAAACAAAAAAAAAAAAAGGCATATCCTGAACGTTCACAGGAGAATTTCAGATGGCAGAGCGCCACCTAGTGGAACAAAAATCAACTAAACGTTGATTTAACTTGTTCCATGATATTTGGCCAACCCATTTTCTTGATAAATTGAGTACCAACCAGTAATGGGATGAAACTTACTGTTGGCTGGCATAGGGATCTTGTTGGGCCAGCTTCTGTAAGACTTGTACCACTTCACTGCATCTCTGTACATCCATTCAGCGTCAGTACCTTCTCTCTCTCTCTCTCTGATTGGTCATCTACTCTGATATAAATACAGTTAAACCTGTCTATAGAGCCCCCTCTAAATAGCGCCTTGCTCTCTATAGTGCCTGATTTTAAATACGTAGTACGATGCGATTTACATTAAAAGTGACCTGTTTATAGCACCCCATCTCTATAGCACCCTATTTTGGTGAGTCCCAAGAGGGGGCGCTATAGACAGGTTTAACTGTATATATATACAAGTTATTATTTTTTTAATGAGGGGGTCGGTAGAAGAGTGGTATAAACTGATAATTTTCTACAGGGTTCACCACTGATGAGCCAAGCCCTCCCAATATATTTTTCATCGCAGTAAGGGACAGTAGAAGTTTGTTTTATGTATAAAAGAAGCATTCGCGCTTTTAAATCCTTTTATTTTATATTTTATAAGATGAACTATACAAAAAATTTCAAATATTATAAATATAAGTAAATAAAACCTCCCCAAATATTAATTTACTTTTAATCACAATGTGTGTATATAATCTAACTCCTATAATTGAGCTAGCCCAGGATTTTCAGAATTTTCTGTTGAACTAAAGTCTATCAAGTTCATTATCAATTCAACACAGCAATCAGTGTCAGTGGACCTTTTCTATAGAAAATTTTGTTGTCAACATTTAAGGAGTTTAAGAATAAAAGGGGGGGGTCGGTGGAAGGCTGGTTAAACCGTTTGGTTTACGACCACTACGACCCGGGTTCGATCCCCGCATTGGACACTTTTTTCTGTTAAAAAAAAAAATGATCCAATGGCCCCCCGATTCTTGCAAAAGTCCAACCCCACCAGCGAGTGCAAGTAACCAAACGGGGCTCTGGCACATTTGTAAGTGCAAAGTCGAACTGCTTTCACATGTGTAGACATGTGGTGCGCTTACAGTAAAAAAAAAAAAAGCAGTCGCTAACTACCCACCATGATTATCATGGCCTGTACCACGTGTACTAGGGATAAGCAAAAAAAAAAAAAAGAATAAAAGGCATTTCATGATTATGCAACTAAAAGTTGCTGATGGTTTGCGCCATCTATCGGAATAAATATCAACTAATCGTTGATTTTTAATTATTCCAGAATTGGCCAAATAAATACTCTTGATTAATCAAGAGAAGCTAACCACATACTGTTTCAGGCTGTTGGCCCTCAGTAGCGTGTTACAAACTGTACCTCATCAACCAAAAAAGCTGGTCTTTGGGGTATCCTGAAAACCCATGAAACAGGTATTTAAGCTGGAAGGGAGTGAGAACGCCAATGTGAAAAATAGTACAAAAGTGAATTTATACTTGGATCAGGTTGTTGAATTAAAGAGAATGTGTTGAATTATATATATTGTATTTAATTTTGTAACTCTATCCTTATTTAAAGATTAACAAAAACATATACAGTATTTGAAATATTTATTCAACCTATAAATTTAAAAATATAAACTTTCACCTATGAAAGCAATACTAAACTAAAAAATGAAAATTCATTCTTACAGCAGTTCTAGCACAGACAAAAAAAAATTGAAAGGGAAGATATTTCCAATGGGTTTTTGTCAGTGTGTGTATGTTGGAATGAAAAATAAAGTGTATTACTGACCTTTTCATAGGATTTGACCAGCTCAAAAATCTCATGCTGGCCTCTGTAATTCTGGTAGATCTCAAGGAAGTCTTGGTAGAGGGTAGAACAAGCTGGACACAGCGCAAACACGTGGGTCTACACATCACAATATTGGGTGTCAATATTGTAAGGTAGAAAATTAGGAAAGACAAACTACAGGATGACACGGCACATTATTTAAGGCAAGAGAGCACAACATAAAATTTATAAAATTACAAGTGAGGCAATGAGGCAAATGTTTACAGAGTAGGAAATTATAAAAATTAATATTATGTTCATAAAATAATAAATATCTTGTGACAATATTGAATATGAATTAAGACAATGATAATCTCCCTTCTTCTTCTTCTTGCTTATCCCTAGTACATTTGGTACAGGCCATGATAATCATGGTGGGAAGAAGCTGGCGACTGCTTTTACTGTAAGTGCATCACATGTCTATACATGTGAAAAGCAGTTCGACTTTTGCACTTACAAATGTCCCAGAGCCCCGTTTGGTTACTTGCACGCGCTGGTGGGGTTTGGACTTTTGCAAGAATCGGGGGCTACATTGAGGCATTTTTTTTTTTATTAGAAAAAGTTCCCAATGCGGGATTTGATTCTGGGTCGTAGCAGTGAAAACCAATGGTTTAGACCAGGGGTTGGCAAACTTTTGAGTTGGAAGAAGTCAAAAATTACAATTTATAAAAATTTTAAAGTTTTTGAGGAGCCACAAAATGTTTTCTTGTCAACAATAAATAGTACTCACATAAATGATATTTGCGTATGGAATTATATATTCTTTTTCTTTCTTATCTCCACTCAATCATATTACAGTATCAAACTTGTAAAGCTTGAGACTTTTGATGGTGTCTGCCAATCATGATGGAACTATATAAAGAGCCCCCTCGGCAGAGCTGACTGCTACAGGGCACGTCCCCAGGTGGCTGATAGGAGAAAGACCTTCAGATATGAAGGCCAGCTGTAAACAAGCAGAATAACTCTGATGAATAAGCAGTCGCAGACCAACAGCAGCATTGTTAGAAGAGAGGAGAAAGACCTCTTTAAAAATCCTGAGTTCAACTGACCCGGTTGATAGACCTCAGCAAGGGTTCCTCTCCAGGGATACGGAGGAGCTGTGTCTGTACTCATGTTAGAATCGGTAGCAAAGGCTTCCATGTTAGGAACAGCCTCAAACTACAGGCAAAGTCAGACTTTCACCAAAGTGTGCCATGGTGCCATAATCAAAGAAAGCTGCACCCCTACATCCCATTCCATGAGAACTCATGGAATTCGTGTAATCTTTACATAAAGGGATAGGAAACAACAACATATTAAGAGCCGCAGCTTCACATTCGAAGAGCCGCATGTGGCTTGCGAGCCGCAGTTTGCCGACCCTTCTTTCACCGATCCACTTCTTCAATATTGAGTACCTTCTATTCCTGGATCATCCTCGGAGTAGACGACAGAGGGAGAGGAGAGCTCGGGACTTTCCACCTGGAACATTCAGCCAAGTTACGGGGGAGTTGACAGACAGAGGGGGAGGACTAAACTGACCCTGAATCTCTGTAGGGCAGCAAGGCTCTCATTGGCTGGCTCTCCAATCAGGCTCTGCAGCAAGCATAACATCATAGTGTAGCCAGTAGAGTAAATAACTGTCCTAAGACTGGTGTACCTCCTCAATCAGGCTCTTCTAAGGTGATCAATCTAGAGCTAAGGTAAAACGACCAAATCAAAATAAATAAATAGGGTATGACATTTCTATAACAGCATTATTACCGAAACGTCCCCCCACTATATATTTATTTGGATTCAGTCCTATTACCTTGTGTTTCTAATCTATAAACCAAATTGTTCCTTATCAATCTAGAGCCATAGTGTGGTGGTAAAACATTGCCTTGGTACAGTTGTCCCATTCATTGAGGATTTTTGTGAAGAGAGATAATGCAATGTTTTCCCATCATTGCCTTCCACGTTCATATACAATTGACCTAATGTTAGACACAAGGTAATAAGACCAAATCCAAATAAATAAATAGTGTGTTGTGTCACACACTATTTATTTATTTGTATTTGGTCTTATTACCTTGTGTTTATAACCTATCTTTTCCTTCTTTCTTATCTCAAAGCCATGATAATCATGGTGGGTAGTTAGCGACTGCTTTTACTGTAGGTGCATCACATGTCTACACATATATAACCTATAATCCAAATTGTGCCTTATCGACCTAATGTTAGGTTCATCCACCTTTAGAAACCCTTTCCAACTTCAAGGACAAGAGATAACATTGCACCAAATTGAGATGAAGTTGGAGGCTTATCAGAAGATAGAATCCTCTGAAAACTAAATTGTAACAACACACTGTCTCTGAGGATAAGCTAGAAACTTATCCTCAGAGGTAGTGTGTTGTTACAAGTTGGAGACTTATCCCTGTTTTTAACCTTTAAATATAGAGGCAATAAAAGTATGCAACACTTACCCTTTGAAG